GCCCTTGACAAAATTTTCTAAAGATCACAAAACAACTGTCATTTTTCCCAGGGATTACTAAAATTGCTTTGGATGGTTTCAGCGTGTACAGTCATTTTTACGGCCCTGCACTACTGTGCAAAGCTAGGACTGCCTGCTCATCACTAGGCTGAGAACAGAATCAGTGTTCTAGTTTGCACTAGAAGGAAGAGAGTAAAAATGAATTTAAGTATTACATTAACATGAAACCAAAGGTAACAATGACTTAATGCTTCAATATCTTCTTCCTGAATATAACAGTATGTTCTTCCTGAATTACAGACAAATATACATATATCAAACCAAGGAGATAATACCATTAATTTCTACTGGTTTGTAGTCAGGGTAAAGGCACAAGTCAATAGGCAAACCACATCAAACAATTCAGGCAAAAATCCAAACAAGAGAATTTTTTTTCTTTTTCTTCTTTTTACCTACCTACAGAAATAAACTGACACCCAAAACCTTTTTAAATTCACACCCTTGGATAATAAAAAAGAAGTAAAAAAAAAAAAAAAAGGATCTCACCATACATCCTGCTACATTACACCTCAAAGATTATTCAATTATGCTGGAATGTGAAAATGGATGTCTCAAGTTGTATTCCTCTCTCTCCTGTCCTTAACTCTAAGGTATTAACTTTACACTAAACTAAATGTGAATTTTAATACAACTAAAGTGACAAAGTCCTTTGAACCACAAAAATATCTAAAAGGAAGTTTGCTGTCCTTCACACAGAGCCTAATTGATAATGAAGCGTCAAATGGACTGGGTGCAGGCAAAAGAAGCCTTGTGATTTTTCCAAGTATGGATTGATGTCTACATACAGCATTTTTGGGTTATGCAGACTCCGCAATTAGGTCTTAAAATACTAAAGGAAAGGAAAGTTCTAGGGTTTTTCCCCTTAAAATTGCTCTAACTTCTTCGAAGTATAATTCAGTAAAAACTGCTATGTTAGTATATTTGAAAAAACTCTAAAGTGCCAAGAAATACGGGTTCTAACCCTCTGGCATTCACGAGCTGTTTAACCTCAGACAACAAGTCATATATAATTTCTCTAGGCCTGATATTATTTATCTGCAAATTCAAAGGACATTTCTTGTGCTGCCTAGCGTTATTTGAAAATGCTAAATAACAATATACACATACTATTAGTCTAAAATAAATAGAAACAAAATGCTACATAAAATCAACATATATAATGCAGAATTTATTTAATAATAAATTAGTAATTTTTTACCTTGGTAACTTTTTATACAGGAATCGCTTTAGGTCCTGAAAGAGAATATTAAAAAAATCATATTATAACAATATGCCTTGTACTGGTTATCTAGATAGTCCTATCCACATTTCAGGTACTTTAAATCATCACTCATAATCTTTCTTGCTCGTCTTTTTTTCCTTCTTGATACTAGTTGTGTGACTTGGAACAAGTTATTTAACCTTTTTCTCTAAGCCCCAGTTTCGTTATTTGTTGAGAAGGGATAACCACAGAATCTGTCATAAGACCATTGTTAAAATTTATTGAGATGTATGTAAACTGATTAGCGTATCTGGACCAATACACAGCAAATACATATTAGCTGTAAAATCAGATCATATTTTTCATACTATTTTACATCCTGTTGCTAATGTCCTACTCACTGGAGAGTATATTATAAACATCTTCCTTGTCTACAGATAAACTTTCTCACGTCACTTTAACAATCCTGGGTAAATTAACTTCTCTGAAACTCCGTTTCTTTTCATAACTAAAGATAAATGACAACATGTATCAAGTGTTAAGCATGGAACATAATTAGGACTAAAGAAATAAAAGACTATTTTACTTCCTCTCATTACACTCTCTCACCTAGGGAATTTCACTGACAATCCAGGTATCAATTATGAGGCCTACATAGGTACATCAAGAATCTGTTGTTTTGAATCTCTAATCCCTACTACTCTCCAGACCTGAATGTTCATTTTATTTCATGTTAGGACCACCATCTTACCTCTGCTCTTATCTTAAACACATACATTAAAACTCAACTCATCATGTTTCATGTGAAATTGAGATTTCCTCAATCTCTTCTTGTCTCCACTAATGGCACTACCAATCCCATTACTGAGGTCTGAAACACAGAGTAACATTTAACCCTAACCTCACCTTTATCACTTCTAAATGATTTGTGAAGTCAAATGTTTTTAAAATGATCTCTTCCTCTTCTTTTTTTTAAAGATTTTATTTATTTATTTGACAGAGAGAGAGAGCGCACAATCAGGGTGGGTGGCAGGCAGAGGGAGAGGGGGAAGCAGGCTCCCCGCTGAGCAAGCAGCCAAGCAGCCCGATGTGGGGCTCGATCCCAGGACCCTCGGATCGTGACCTGAGCTGAAGGCAGACGTTTAACAGACTGAGCCATCCAGGCGCCCCTCTTTCTTTCCTTTTCAACTGATATTACAATTTAGGTTCACTTTAATAATTATTTATGACTTGTGCTGGCCTCCCACTTCTAGCTCATACAGTTCTACACAATGCCTATAACCATATTATTCTCCTTCTCTACCTGGGTTTGAGGTGCTTCCCAGATGATTCCCTATGCAGTCAGGGTTGAGAACCAATGTCCAAATGGCTCTCCACTGTTTAATAAATTCTCTACAAATTCTTTTAACATTTGAGCTTCTCTACAATATGGTCTACACCTAATTTTACAGTCCTGCTTCCTACCACTCCCTCATACATAACTCAGCCCCAGCAAGAGTGGACTACTCACAGCTCCTCCACACACATCTTTCCCTTTCCCATCTCTCAAACTTTGCTTACACTACTCATTTTAATAGTAATTCTCTATCAATCTTACTTTGAGAAAAATTGCCACTCATTATTTAGAGCTACTCTCAACCACCAAATACTCCAAATAAGCTTTCCTGATAAACACAAACCAGATGTGACCCCTCTCTCTTTTGAATTTTCACACAATTATATATATACACTTATGATCACCTGCCTATTATACTTTAAAAAAAATTTTTTAAACCCTTATGGAGGGATGCCTGAGTGGCTGAGTCGGTTAAGTGTCTGCCCTCTGCCTGCTGCTCCCCCGTTCGTGTGCTCGCACACACGCGCTCACTCTCTCTGACAAATAAATAAATAAAATCTTTAAAAAAAACAAAAACAAAAAACCTTATGGAGAGGAATTGTACCTTAATCATCTTTATTTCACCCACAGCCCTTATTACAACAACTTTCGCAAGGTGATGCTCAATAGATATATAGTGATTTGACTGTGCCTGGAGAATAAGTTCTCAAGAACATAATGGCAGACACTCAAAAATGGAGTGATAAAGGCATACAAAGTTCCTAAACCTAAAAAGAAAAATCATGTTCATATTAATGTTGAATGATCATTCAGCCTAGTGGTTAAGAGCATAAACTCTGGAGTCAGACTGCCTGGGTTGGTATCTTGACTCTACAACTTACCAGCTGTGTAACCTGAGGCAAAACCTGATCTTTCTATGCCTCAGCCTCCTCAGCTAGAACACAAGGACAGTAACAGTGCCTACTTCCTAAAAGTTGTAAGAATTAAATGTTCAGTGTTTAGAATGCCCAGCATGTAGGTAAAAGAACAACAGGATGTAAAATATAGACACATAAACATTAGTAGTATCAATTCCCTGTTCCTAATAACTAGTACAATTAAGTTTCCTAAACTTACAATTTGGGTTTTATTGCTGTGCTAAAGAGGTATCAGTCAGAAATCATCTCAATTTGCTCCAATGAATCTAGAGAGACATCATGACCACTTACTGGAAAAAAGTGGATTCACAAGCAGCAAAACATTTAGAAATTCAAATGGTATTCCGAGCCTCTCTTATGCCCGCCGGATTGGGGAGTGGGAAGAATACAATTTTCTCAACCTCAGACACCTTAGCGTCCTCCACCCCCACTGTGGGCAGAAAGTACCCCGCAAATCTCTTGGTATTAGTCACTCACTCCAGAGTCTACAGAAATTACGTGGGGGTGGGCGGGCTAAAAAGGAAACAAATTTCTCCTTGGGAAGCTTTACCTCTCCCGGCCCAGTAGGCCTCCACCAAACTCCCCACCCTCCCCTTCCTCTTGTGTGGGTGTGTTAACTCACATCCGCCATGACGAACCCCTTTCTCCCGCAGGATCAATCTCCACTCCTGAAAGAGAAACTCCTGGTGATTCTCCCCTCAAGACTTCTTCCCACCTCCAACCTAACAAGCGGGGTCAGCTCTCATCAAGGACAGGCAAGAATCCGCGGCTCTAGGACTCGCACCAGGGAAGCCGAAGTGAGGCAGGAGTTCCCAAATACCCAGACGGTAGCTGGGATGCCCTACCTCAGTCCACTCCACCCTGCACCCGCGAAGACCTAGGCCCAAAGGAGAGGGGAAGGGGAGTCCTCTCCCTCCCCTGCGTCTCACTGCCCGCGCCACCTGCGGGCCCGGGCTGAATACCGAGCAAAGCGGCTCGAGTTACCTTGCTTTCTGGGCTACGGTGTTCCTTCAGCTGCAGATCCAGGGACAGCCTGACAGACAGCCTCCTTGGAAAGCCGTCGTCACATGATTTGTGACCTCCTCCGTGTTCCAGGAAGCACTTTCTACGCCTCCGAGGCCCGACGATAGGAGATTTCCGGGGAGGCGCGGAGGCCTTTTTGCGTCGGGCGCGCCCCGCCCCGCCCCTCTGCGGGCTGCTCCCTGCGCCTGCGCAGACGTAGGGACGTAGGGACACAGGCCGGTGAAAAGAGGGTTCCTTGGGTGACGTCCGGCACTAAAAGACCCGCCGGAAATGTATGCAAGGAGAAGTTGTTGTGTGGGGAGGGTGCATAAATTTCATGAGTTTTTCAAGGCCTGTTATCTTAAGACCTTTTCTTGTAGATGAAAAAGTTTGAAGGGGTGTTGTTTACGAGCTGAACTGCAAGCAGGATTGCCTGTGCCTAGAAGTCCCAGGTTCATGGGACGCCTGGCTGGCTGAGTCAGTGGAGCTTATGACTTGATTTCGGGATGGTGAGTTCCAGTCCCGCTGGGTGAAGAGATTACTTAAAAATAAAATCTAAAAAAAAAAAGTCCCAGTTTCATAGTTTTCTGACCCCGACGTCCCCCACTGCCTTGGCTTTTCCAAGGGTGCCACCCATGTGCTCTTACTCGAGGTCTTGTCTAGATTGTATAGAGGAGCCATGAGCTTTCTGGAGTTTTCAAAGTTAGTTGCGCAACTCAACATACGCAGATCCTGGACAACCTTCTTTTGTTGACTCATGATTTAGAAGGCTATGCCTTCTAAGTTGCAACCATATTATTTTTTGTTTGGTGTCTTGCTTGTTTGCACATGTAACAAAAACCTACAGTAGGTGCTAAGAAAACGAAGACTATGGGACTTGTTAACGACTCATCATCAACTCCCAATCCCTAAAAGTAGGAGAGCGGGCGCCTGGGTGGCTCAGTTGGTTAAGCGACTGCCTTCGGCTCAGGTCATGATCCTGAAGTCCCAGGATCGAGTCCCATGTCGGGCTCCCTGCTCGGTGGGGAGTCTGCTTCTCCCTCTGACCCTTTCCCCTCTCATGCTCTCTCTCACTCTCTCTCTCTCCAATAAATAAATAAAATCTTAAAAATAAATAAATAAATAAATAAAATAAAAGTAGGAGAGCAAAAGGAATTAACTCTAGTTCAAGACATGGTGAAGAGTTGGATACTAATTTCCTAGTTATCCTTGAGAAGATGAAATGGTAAACTACAGCTCTCCCAACTGTTAGAAATGATCTCCTGATTATTACAAGTGAACTTGACGGTTCCATAGCAAAGCACATCATTGAAGTTCGCTTCCTTTTCCTTATTTAAACCCTTTGATTTCTTTGATTTCTTAGCTTCTGGGATACTGCATTACTTACTTTAGGTCCTCACCCATTCTAGTTTCCTAATTCTTTAGATCATGGCATTTAAAGCTTGTCTTTGGTTTCGTTTTTCTCTTTCCACATTTTCCTGAGAACGTGAGTCCTAAGTCTGCACCTCTCCTCAGAGTTCTAGGTTCACATTTTCCGCTGCTTGTCGGTTGTTGGATACATCTACATACATGTCTTGAAGTCAGCTCTGACTCAAAAGCTCCAAAAACTTCTCCAATAAACCTTTTTCCTAATGTGTCTGTTGTTTCCATGATTCTACTAGTCATGTGTCATGTTTGACTACTATCTTTTGTTCCTCGTGTCCGCTTTTCTAACCTAACAATGATTTTTTTCATCTATATATTTTTTTCAATTCTTCATTCAAACCACTATTTAGCAAGATGATATCAATAGCCGCTTACTAATGGCCAGATAAACCTCCCCAAAACAATGCACATTACTGCTGCTCAAAAAAATCTTTAGTGATGTACCATTGCAGACTGATAAAGTTGAGTCTTTAATCTGGCACAAACATACTGTTTTACTTCTGAACACATTCTAATGTGAATCCTATACTCCAGCCAAGTTGATTACTTCACCCTTCCATCACTGGTTATTATTTCTCCACACTGGTTCTGGGGGGTCCTTTAAACTGAAGTGCTTATTTCTCTTGTAGGTGAGGAAAAACATACTTCTACCCTTCTACCCTCTTAGGTTCTATGGCTGGGCCCAAGAATTAATTGACAGATTATCCAGTGAAAAGCCATACACATTTATTTAATATTTTTATGTGTATATGGGAGTATTCAGAAGGAAATAAGGTCCAAAGAAGTCATTAGGCCCAAAAGTTACATGTCTTTTATACAAAGAACAACAAATTGTGGGGATGTGACAAGAAAAGGGGCTTGGGTAAGGGACAGTAAATTGTGGGACAGTGATTATGAAACATATGGGTGAAACAAATGGAAGATAGGATTATTTTAGTAGGCTTGTTTGTACAGGTCCATTTTGGCGTCAGTCTCGCCTCTCGTGATAAGAATGTTCTCTTCCTGGTAGAGGGAGGGCACCTTTCTCACAGAAAATTTCATGACCTGTTTTTTGGTAAAAGGGGAGGTCAAAGAATCCTTCCTGCATCTGTTTTCTTAGTGCCTTCAGCTCAAAATAATCAATATGCCTAAGTGGTGGGCGGCTGGGTGGCTCCATCAGTTAAGTGTCTGCCTTCGGCTCAGGTCATGATCTCAGGGTCCTGGGATTGAGCTCTGCATCGGGCTCCCTGCTCAGTGGGGGGGGGGGTCTGCTTCTCCTTCTCCACTTCCATTTTAACATGTTCCATCCTAAAAACTATCCATAAATGATAGTTGACCTGGAAAATACTGATTTTCATTCTTCTTGAGTGGCAAAAAAGGGAGAGCATAGCTTTCCAAGCTCTCCAAATACCACTATGTCCTCAAGTTGAAAGAACTAAGATTTCTAGTTTCCAAGTGTGGTGGTTTCTGAATTAAGGCAGTCAATGGGAGACTGATCTGTTTGAATTTACTCACTGCCGTTGGTATAGGACTAGGGGAAATATTTACTGGCCTAAAAGATTATCAGCATTATGTACCAGTTCTTCAAAGTGGGGTGTACCAGATGGTCCCTGAGGTTCAGGAAGAAACTAGTAGAAATTGTATACATATACACACAAAGTTTTCATCTCACCCATTCAAATTTTCTAGTACACAGCATACCAGAGAAATAGTATACTAGTATACATAATACATGAGACAGTTAAAACATGTACATGTTGTTAAAGTTCTAACTTTATTGGTTGTATCAAAAGCCTTTGTTTCTGCTTATTTTTAGCTTAAGTTTCTCTTAGCTTTTGTATATGCCAGAGATGTCTCAATTTTTTTATTCTTCTTTTCCATAAAAAACTACCAATCATCTCAGTTTAGGTTGGCTCCACTGTTTGTGTGAAAATTCTAATTGGTATCCAAACTCATGGGGAGGAGAGTCTTGCTGATTTTCCAACATACAAATATGAAAATTTTATCACTTAGATTGGCCAAGTTGGAAAATGTCTTGCTAATATTGATTCTGGCTATGGTTTGGGATTTGGCCCATTGAGAATACAATTATAAGGTCATACGCAATAACTTTCTCTTTTATACTACCACTCATTGTCATCACACCCTGGATTTAGGCAGTGACCTGAGAAATGACTAATTCCTCTGGTCTCTGGCTTGCATACAATAGATGATCAATGAATCACTCACATGTCAGCAACTTAAACTCCCCTACCTTCTTTCCTGCCTGACAGAACCCCAACTTTGGATGAGTTCAATCAGTTGTATTCCACTGCCTATGCCTAGGCTGATGGGTTAGGCTGGAGAAAACACACACAACTAAACAGACTGTAAACTCTGCCACAATCTGGGACTTATAAAAATCCTACTTTTTCACTCATCAGCTGACTCAGTGGAAAAAAAAAATTCCTTCAAACTCTCCTCTTTCTAAGCCTGTTTCTTTTTCTTTTCCCCTCCCCCATTTTACACAGATAAAAACTGCCTATTCATCAAGCCAATGAAAGCCATGACATCTTACCACCAACACTACAAATCTACCTGCCTTTGCACCCATCCTCCATGCATTCCTTTCTGAAAGAATGCTGGTGGTCGTTTAGCTAAAGTAATTCTTCCATCTGTCCAATGACATAATATCCTCCTAGACGTATCAGGCACTTACTGCTATTATCCCTCTTTTTCTCTGTCTTTACTCTTTCACTTTCTACCTGCCCCTTTACATCAGAGTGAAAAACAGAATAAAACAGATGTCTCATGCAATAAATATGATCTCACGTAATTAATAATTGAAAAAATAAAAGCCTTCTTTAGAAACCACATCCTCTTTCAGCTAACATCCTTCTCTACTCCCTTTCACAACCAAATTTTTGGAAAAGTTTTTAACTGCTGCCTCTGTTTATCCCAAATCCAATCAATCAAATAATTCTCTTGCCTCTACTTCCTGAATATCTCTCAAAATCATTCATTTATCTGTATTCCTACTCTAGTCCAAGCCATGATCATCTCTCCTTTGCCAATAACTTCCTATCCTTCCTATATTCATGTTTGCCCTCCAGTCTTCTCTGCACAATAACTGAAATGATACTTTAAAAACTCAAATCTCATTATGTAACTCCCTCCTCAAAAATCTCAAAGGTTTTCTACTGGCGTAGGATAAAGTCCAATTATCATCATCATAATTTATATATGGTCTTATGGAACTTGGCCCCATCTTATTTTAATTCTCTAACTTATCCTGCCTTTCCTACGCTATAATCATACGAGTTTGTTCTCATGCAAGTTTGTTTTCACTTCCACAAAGTTTCTATGGCTTTATCAACTTAGCACACTTTGCCTGAAATATATCTCTAGCATTCACCTCACTCCTACTTATCTTGTCTTTTGAGTTTCAACTTAAGCTCACTTTCTCAGAGAAACTTTCCCTGATCCTCCTATAGTAGGTTAAGTCTTCTAGATATGTGCTCTCATTGTACCTTGTAATTTTCTTTGTAGCATTCACCACAATTATAATTAGTTATTTACTTTACATTTATTTTCTGGCTAGATGTAAACTCCATAAGGATTTCTGTCTGGTTCAGTGATTAATTCCCAGTACTCAGCTCATTGCCTGGGATAAAGCAGGCATTCATACATTTGTTGAATGGTTGAATGAATGAAAGAAAGTGCATATTAAGAATATAAAACATGGTAAAAACACATCCTTTAGGGGCGCCTGG